AGTCACCCGTGGGGGAGATAGGCGGCATACAAGCCGAATAAATAAATAAATAAATATTGAAAACAGCACAACTGCTTTCAAAATTATACTTCTCAGTTTTTAAAAATGCATCTTTAAATTGTCATTTTAATTGTTAAGATATGGTGGCAGAGAAGAACGAAGTGTTTATTATGGTATATAATCACCTCAAACTTATGATCAGAACTTCATTCACATTCTACATATTGTATGCTCATCTGTCTGGATCAGCACTATCTATCCTAACTTCTAGCAGCTTGGCTAAATCTGTCAAAGACTGAAATTCCCTCTCCTTACTGAGCTACAAGAGAATGCTTAGTTATGAAACTCCAGACAAAGGAAATACACACACACACACACACACACACACACACAAGCCCATTACTTGGTTGTGGTAAACGTGATAAGGCTGGCGGTGTTATCCCTGCAGAAGATATTTTCTTTACTGTTGGTGTCTTGTACTGAAATAACAAATATGACACCAATTAAACCAGTAATTTAACAGGTTAAATAAACTGTTCCCATCTTCCCACCCCCTTCCACAATCATACTGATTCAGCTGTCACTTTTCTACTGCCCCATATTTAAGACAGACTACCTACCCTTTTTTATGTATTACAGTTAAAACATGTTGTTTTGTTTTTAAAAAATATGATCACTCTCATCAAAGTGGGAGATGGTATTGCAATATAACAAGAATAAACCAATATGACATGTGCATTATTTGCTGCTAAAGCACATCAACAGAACCACAGACCAATGGTTATAGTGTCCATGAGTTATGTTCAACACATCCAGAGGGTCACAGGTTGGGAAGGTTCTACACTGTGGCAGTGGTTCTCCAGTATTTCAAGAAAGGGGGCCTGCCTGCCGAAAACAGAATAAAAAATGCACATGGCCTTAAAGCATGAGCTCTAACACTGAACTTTCACATCCAATCTAGACTAATTTTATGTAGTAAAAGTGTAAAGTAAAATTGGTATTGGATTGCATATGAAATGCATGGATTGGATTGGCTAATCCTTACTTCTCCCTCTGAAGAATGGAAATGACTCTAAACTTATTGCAAGTACAGACATTGGTGAAAATTGAAAATCTGTCCTGATTAAATTATGGAGTTCACTACCATAAGGATGCTGTGACAGCCATGAACTTGGATAGCAACAAAAGGGGATTTATATAATTCATGGAAAATAAGCCTAACTCGTTATTTAACAAGGCTTATTTAACGTCTTGCAGATTCTCTTGTGACTAAATAGTCTGGCATATTCTATATAATAAAGGGGACACTGGGAAGGCTTCAAGGCAAACAGGAAAATGATTTAAGACAAAGTGATTATACTTTAGATTTGTTTACCTTTTTATTTCTTCAATAAAAACAGCACAAAATAGGTTAATATAAAATGTCCAGTCCAAAATGTTCAACGTCCTGTAAAAGCTCATAAAAAACAACCTGTATAGGCTCTGTATGAATTAATTACTCCTGGTTTCTTAGCCTCTTACCAGATTTTGTCAGATTGTTGTTGCTTCTTAAATATCCAAAAGAAATAAAACATTTAAGTTATGGCTTAACTTTAAGATGTGTCTGATTTTAAAGAATGCTAAATTTAGGAAAGCAGTAAAATGAAAAGTACAAAATGATGAGTAGTAAATTTACTTACCTGTGTTCGAGCAGGAGGCTTCCCTTTAACTTCAGCAACCGCTTTCCCTTTATTAGCAATACGTGCTGCCTGTTCTTTGCAGAAATTGATGTGTCGATCAGCTGCATTTTCATTAAATCGTCTCTGGCAGTATGGACATTGAATATAATCTATATTCAACAGAAGTCCATGTGATAAAAAAAATATAACAAATAGCTATTTATTACTTCACTCACTCAACTGACCAATACCATTTTGCTCTCATGGTAGACTTAGAATCAATGCTCCAATGCCATAACATTTATAAGAGCTGCTACTTCCAGCTAAAATGTGTGTGTGTGCACGCGCATGTGTTGTATCTTTCATAAGACCATGAAATTCTGCAGGAGAGGGGAGGGGGAGATACATCAATCTCAACAATGTATATAAATGATCAACAGTTACTGGCGATCTCCCTTATTTTCACTTAACCACCCAGCTAAAAGCACATGTTTTCACTCTATTTCTGTCTACCCCTTACAAATCTATTTCCGGCAGATCTCTGACAGTCTTTTTTCAGCTTCAAAATTCTGAGAATAAGCAGGGAACACCATGAGCCAATCAGTCTTCCCTCCATCTGATCAACAGGAGTATTTAAAAGAATGGATTCCAGCTACATCCCACCCCATGAGCTGCTTCAGTTTCAGTGGTAACAAAAATCCTTTCACCTCCATTCCACACGTGCTAGCATCTTCCCATATATATTTTTAATGCATCTTGCATCCATCTATCTAGCTGTTTACAAGGAAAAAAATAAAGGTTCTTAGGGGTACTGTTTCTTCTGTTTCTATTATAAAAATCTCTGCAAAGTGTGATGTGGGAAAGATATCAGCATTTTTGCAACCAGGTACTTTTTACTTTAGTTTCATACTGCAATACAGAACTCCCATGTGTGTTTGGGACAAGAGAAAAGGCTTTTGCTCAGAGTCAGTGGAAAATTAAGAGTGGTGGGTTTTGTTTTTTAACAGGAGTTGTAAAACTGATTTTAGAAACTGAATTCAATGACGTGGTTGCCTATATTCCTTCCCTAGCACAATTAGATTGAACAAAGGCTTATTTGTGGACCCATGTTGGGAAGTGTGATAAACCAAGGGCAAAGCCAAAGAATTAAATCCATCCTATTAACTGTAGGTTCCTTTCCAATTCCACATCTAAAAAATTTCAATGCGAAACCCCTGACAAATAATCAGGGCAACAGTGACTCAGAATAGAAATGCCACTTTCTCTGCTGATATAAATGTGCAATTATTTCCTGTATAATAATGTCAGATTTAGGAATGATTCAGTGATGGAGCTCTGGGAGAAGACAAAAGAGAATCATGGTATCATATCTGGGCCTGCCTCCTTCATTAAAATATACATAATTGAAGTTTTGCACATAAGCAAGAGAGACAGATATACAGAATGGATATGATTGCTAGAACCCAGTCTATTTTTTCCAATCATCCAGTGTTCCTAAAGACTTACTCTCTGAACCGGTGTTTCTCAACCTCAGCAACTTTAAGATGTGTGGACTTCAACTCCCAGAATTCCCCCAGC